ATTCTGTAATATTGAAACAAGGTTTTATAAGATCTCCTAATGATTCTTGCTTGTATACAAAATGTAATGGTAATTACAGAACTTATGTTTTATTGTATGTAGACGACTTGTTATTTTTTGGTAATAATAATTCAGAATTAAGTGAACTTAAATCAGCTTTGAACAAAGAATTTAAAATGAAGGATTTAGGGTTGGTGTCAACTTTTTTGGGTATACATGTAAAACAAGATTTAGAGAAGGGAATAACTGAATTNGACATGTTGGTGGGCTACTGTGATGCAAATTGGGGGGGAGATTTGCAGGATAGGAAATCCACAACAGGCTATTGTTTCATGTTTGCAAATTGCTTAATATCATGGTGTTCGAAAAAGCAAACCTCTGTGAGCTTATCTTCTACAGAGTCAGAGTATATTGCAATAAGTATGGCTGCATGTGAAGCCTGCTGGTTAGTAAGTTTATTAAAGGATTTCAATATTAATAATACATGTCCTGTGAATATTTATAGTGACAATCAGAGTGCCATTATGGTTGCTAATACTGATAGCATCAAACGTCTGAAACACATAGACATTCGTTTTCATTTTATTAAGGAACTAATTAAGAAAGGAAAATTGTTATTAAAGTTTATTAAAACAGAAGATCAGACAGCTGATATGTTTACAAAGGCATTAAATAGAACCTTGTTACTTAGGTTTATAGATAAGTGTGGTTTAAGCGAGTAAGTTTAAGTTATTTAAGTTTAAAGTAAATGGGTAGTAGAGTTATAATATTACATTGAGGGGGGGTGTTATTATATCTATGGAATAATTCTAAGTCAATGTAATATTGAGTTAAAATATGTTGGTAACACTGATCGCTTCCGGTTAGGAAGCCATTACACTTTTCTAAAAGCTCTGTACGCTCTCGTTTGTCATAGTACAATAAATAAAACTACACAAGTTTATAACCTGCGTTTTACTCAAGATAACAGGTAGATTGCACTTCATCACGCCACATTTCTTCACTCTCTACAAATTCGTTACTCTTCTTTCCTGTGCCTATGACGCGACTCTCCCCATCTGGGGCATCTCTTCTCTTATGCCACCTGTGCAAACTCCTGCAGCCGCCTCAAGTATGACAGGACTATCAGTTCCCCAAGCCCTCGTGCCTGAACATCTCCAGCAACAACCTGACGACGGCCAAGCTGCCGTCGCTGCAGCGGCCCTTCGCCTACCTCTACAACCTGACCGTGCTCGACGCCTCCGCCAACGACCTCACCGAGTTCCCGCTCAGCCTCGTGCACAGCAACAAGAAGATATCCGTCGACCTGTCAGGTGAGCTTCAAGTGAGAGACTGGTGGTACTGCGGCGTCAGCGAGCGTCTTGCCTCCGAGTCTCTTCTTGCGGAAGAGTTAGTAGGAGGGAAGGAGCTGTCAGGTAAAGCCATGTTCAAGATCTGATGACCAGCCGGGCTGGTCACTTACTGGAACGTTTCAGTCGCAGAATAGAATCCTACCTAAAACTGATGGTAGTGTGATAGGACATACCTCCATCTTCCCACGGCCATGTCAAACATATTACTGCGGTTGCCTTTGGCAGATTTCAGTCGACCTCGTCACTCTTTTTTACTCCCTACAAATTCGTTACTTTCTTTCCTGTCCCTATGACGCTATTCTCCCCCTTCTGGGGTTTCACATCACAAAACTGGTGACGCCCTCTGATACGTGACAGACGAATAGGCACCTCTTCTCTTATGCCACCTGTGCGCAAACTCCTCTAGCCGCCTCAAGTATGATAGGACTATCAAGTTCCCCAAGCCCTCGTCGCCTGAACGTCTCCAGCAACAACCTGACGACGGCCAAGCTGCCGTCGCTGCAGCGGCCCTTCGCCTACCTCTACAACCTGACCGTGCTCGACGCCTCCGCCAACGACCTCACCGAGTTCCCGCTCAGCCTCGTGCACAGCAACAAGAAGATATCCGTGGATCTGTCAGGTGAGCTCCAGGTTCTTTTACTCCCTACAAATTCGTTACTCTTCTTCCCTGTACCTATCACGCGAATCTCCTCATCTGGGGCTGCACAAGAAGATCTCCGTGGACCTATCAGGTAACTAGGCTGTTAGGTGTTGAAGAAGTCCAAGACTTATGCCGGATATTCGTATCTTCACCACTGACGGCTACGGCACGGGCTCTGACAAAATATCGCGGAGGTTTTAGTGGGCATACCCCATTCTTTTCAGACTGGAGTAGTGCTAAGAGAGTCACAAACACCCTGCCCCTTGGCAGTGGTGTCGATGCGCAAAACATTTTCTTCGCATCAAAAACACGTCGTCGATATGCTTACTGGACTGCTATGATTGCGGGTAGAATCCCGCTGGAGACAAATGTTACAGTAATAAGAGGGGTATTTTTATGTTTGTTCACACCCTTTTATAAAAAGTAGTAACCTTTAACATTCCCTCACTCGTTTTAACCACTATAAAAACCACTTAAAATTCTTTCTGTGATGCTAATATCTGTCATATATTCCTTTCCAGGCAACAACTACCTCCCATGCAAGCACTTCCAGCGCGCTATGGACGCCAACAACAGCTCGCTGGTGACGTTCCTGCACTACAACCAGACCTTCTGCGCGCTCGACCTGCAGTTCAACTGGTTCAAGGACGTGCAGGTCGTGCAGATCGACCACCTCAAGATACAGAAAGAGGTACAGTGGATGTTGTATTTTGAGACGCATTTGAAAATAAGTAGAACTACAACAACCCGTTTAGGTACAACACATACTCCTCATTCCCACTGCGCTGCAACTTTTCCCTCTCAAGAAAAGCTACATCATAGCGTGCCAGCTTCATTTACAGTTTATTCCAGGGAAAAAAATATTAAATTTTTGATCCGCAACGAAATAAGGGTTTATTTAATGATTGGTGGATTTTGACATATCTGTCAATGTCATGTCAAAATCCACCAATCATGCAGCATTTGGACCTCCCGTCTACGTATTGCCATCTGGCGGATTTTTCAATCGCGAAAACCCTCTTTGCGGACCAGTTGTCGCCACTGGCGAAGTGGTCCTGTCACTTGCTAGTGGCTAAGACGGTGGCGCCAACTGGTGATTGTTATGAGAATTATTTGCAATCACCAGGCGGGCTAGAATGCGCATCGTGCTAATATCATATCGATGATTTTACACATCAAAATGGATGGGATTATTTATCTCGTAAATTCGATTTAATGACGCGATAAACGCTTATCAAGGCGCGCACTAGACCTACAGGTGATATTACTCGCCAGTGGCACCAACTGGTAAGCCCAATATTGATATTGTCGAATTTGCCATCTTCAGGCGCACCAGCGCCGCCAAGTCAGTTAGTAGTCGCCATGGCCTGAATCGATCGCATGAATCACCATCAAATTGTTGTGTCTATGTCACCGTAAAATTGTGAATTCCGTCAGATTATAATCAGACGAAGTTAAATTACAATCTAACCTAACCTAACCTAACCCACTGTTAGTTTACAATCTTTCGCGTTATATTATAAACTAATATTATAAAGAAGAAAACTTTGTTTGTTTGTTTGGTTGTAATGAATAGGCTCAAAAACTACTGGACCGTTTTTAAAAATTCTTTCACCATTCGAAAGCTACATTATCCACGTGTAACATAACTAGGCTAAATTTTATTTTGGAAAAAAATATGGTTCCGTAAAATATGTAGATAATGTATTCCACGCGCGTGAAGCCGCCGGCGGAAAGCTAGTAGCTAATAAAGAACATTATATCTTGAATCATCAGCTGAACGCGAACTGCCGCAAGATCAAGCCAGCCGAGAGCAACTGCAGCTGCGTGTTCGAGCGCCTGGAGCTCATGGGCGACGAGGTCACCAACCTGGTGGCCGTGGACTGCTCGCAGCGACACCTCACGGAAATGCCCACGAATCTGCCGCCCAATACTGTGAAACTTAATGTGTCTTATAACAATGTGAGTAGCCAGATCAAACCTTTCCTGAAGAAAAGTGATGATAAGGCTGAAGGTGGAAGCCAGCTTCACCCGGAATCTTCAACCACAGAGGACCGGCTTTTTTACCTCCAACTCCCAGCTAAACTTCTGGTGACAGATGTAGGTAAAATGGTGGTAGTTACCTAAGCGAACTTAGAACCAGCCCTAAACTGCAGAAATTTCGCCTCTACTGGGACCCGAGTCCGAGACCTCTGGGTCTGAAGTCATACACCTAGACTACAAAGACAGTCGCACGGACCACTGTATCACCAACCTGGTGGCCGTGGACTGCTCGCAGCGACACCTCACCGAGATGCCCACGAATCTGCCGCCCAATACCGTGAAGCTTAATGTGTCTTATAACAATGTGAGTGGCTCAGCTTTGACACCTCCAATAAAATTTTTTGCAGTGAAAGAATGATAAAATAAAATCTTAGGCACCAATATTTAAAAACTTCATCATCATCATCATCATTTCCAGAGGACGTCCACTGCTGAACATAGGTCTCCCCCAATACTTTCCACGTTGATCGATTGGTAGCGGCCTGCGTCCAGCGCCTCCCCGCTACCTTTACGATGCCGTCGGTCGGATTTAAAAACTTATAGGTACATACATAAAACCATGAACTGTAGTCACGTCGGTGACTATGTGGACTGCTGTATTAAACCCCATTGAATCCGGCAGAATCGGACCTCGCTCACATTTCCCGTAAATGTCCAAAGAGGCAACTATTGGAGAAATGTTTGATCATCAGGCCTCCCTAAACCTTCTGGCCAGTTTGGGGAGTAAAGGCCAAAACCTACATTTGCCTTAAAAAATTTGAGAATGACGTCTTGCTGCAATGGAGACTATGAATGATGATATCCGTTGCATATTACAAACTTTAATTAAGTATTTTGGGACTAGATGGCGCCCTACAATACAAACTTTGCTTAGTTCAGGACTAAATTGTGCTATTATCCGCACTTAGCCCTCTGATGGGCCATTATACGAGGATATCAATTTATTTATGTTTATTATTCTCCAGATAACGTCGCTTCAAGCTGTGGGCGACGACCCGACCTACGAGCACCTGCGCCAGCTGTTCGCCGACTACAATGACGTCAGCAACATCATCGCGCTCGAGGGCACCAAGTTCATAGACAACTTCATGCTCTTCTCCATCGGCCACAACAAGCTCAAGACTGTAAGTGACCTTATGTCTGTAGCGTAAGGCTCAATATCGCCTGCGTCAGCTGTTTAACTACAATGACGTCAGCAACATCATCGCGCTCGAGGGCACCAAGTTCATAGACAACTTCATGCTCTTCTCCATCGGCCACAACAAGCTCAAGACGGTAAGCGACTTTATGTCTGTAGCGTAAGGCTCAATATCGCCTGCGTCAGCTGTTTAACTACAATGACGTCAGTAACATCTTCGAGCTCGAGGGCACCAAGTTCATAGACAACTTCATGCTCTTCTCCATCGGCCACAACAAGCTCAAGACGGTAAGCGACCTTATGTCTGTAGTATAAGGCTCAACATCGCCTGCGTCAGCTGTTTAACTACAATGACGTCAGCAACATCATCGCGCTCGAGGGCACCAAGTTCATAGACAACTTCATGCTCTTCTCCATCGGCCACAACAAGCTCAAGACGGTAAGCGACTTTATGTCTGTAGCGTAAGGCTCAATATCGCCTGCGTCAGCTGTTTAACTACAATGACGTCAGCAATATCATCGCGCTCGAGGGCACCAAGTTTATAGACAACTTCATACTCTTTTCTATTTAACCGACTGCGCCAGAAGGAGAGAGGAGATGTATATTTCTTTGGCACGGCCTACAGTCTAAACGGCTTGACCGATTTTAGCGTGAGAGGTATCGTTACACTGGCTATATTAAAATTGGAAAAAATAAAAAAGGCGGATTTTAGGCGCCATAATAATGTCTTAAAAAAATATGCTATTGGTTTTTTTTTATTTCTTTTAATTGCTCTATTCCTTTAACCACTTACTGTTTATCTATGGGGTAACACTATCTATTCACCATACGTGAACGATTATAAACCAATATTGTTTTGTTTTAGATACACACGTACGTGCTGTCGAATAGATTCGGCACGACGGGCCCGAAATTGTCCATAGCTGGGAACAAAATCGTCTGCGACTGCAACGCGGAAAAGATGATCAAGGTAAATTAAATGATATTTATAGAGCGAGCAAAAGAGTTCGCACTCCTATAACAATTTTAAAACGGCCGAGTACTTACTTGTTTTACAAAATTATCTCACAAGATACTGTCTACCTCAATTCTTTCAATACGTCACGCTATCCAGTTTTAATTACTATAAACTTGCTAGTTTTTTCAGAATCATGATTTTCATCTAACCGTCTCTTTCACAAACGTCATCATCCCAAGTTAAATGTGAGCGACTTTAATTCATATATTGAAGAAAATACCTTTATTTTCCAGCCCTGGCTCCAAGAGAACTTCAAAAACATCCCCGACTACAAAAACCTAGAGTGCCAAGACAATCTGGGCCCTGTGGTCGACTTAGTAGAGTCGAAAGTGTGTCACACGCCGCGTGACTGGACGGACTATATCTATTACATCATAGGCTTGGAGGTTTTAGTGCTGGTTTTGTTGATAAGTAAGGTTTCTTACGACTACTGGATCTTTAAAACAGCTGGATATCTGCCTTGGCCAGCCAATAAGATGCCAAGGCTGCCGTGTGATTGGCTGTGCGAGTGAATCAGTGGTATTTTGGACCGTAAACAAATGACTATTGGTGTGAATTCACAAGCATATCAAATGTAACATGTTGACCTTGAGGTGGTTCGTATTACTGACTCAATAAGAGCGACTATTGAAGTGCAATTATAACGCTTGATGTGCATGTCAAGATATATCTTTTGAGATGGCTGTTCTGTCTTGGACAGAGGCTAGATGGATTTTTTACATATTATACAAAGACGTTTAGTAAACAGGTTATAACTATGTACAGCCAGCATCAAATAGTTAGTACCAAAGTAGTAAGTAGCTAAAGTAGCAAAAAAGTCCGCAATACTTCCTTCCTTGTAATTGGAATAAGGTTGGGTTATGGATTATCAACTTTTTGTCCACTTTGTGTGTCTCGAACTATTTGACGCTGACTGTCCCTATTATAAAATAGTTATTAAGAAAAATAAATGTTGATTGGTACATATTTTTATATGGGTTAATTAATAAGTTAATTATTATATGTTTTTTAAAAATTGTATGTTAGTGGTAGTAGGAATAAAGCAAAATACATACTTATTTGTTTAATAACAAAATGAATTATTTGAATGAAATAAATATAAGAAACTAAGATCTCTTTCATATCGATTTTGTTATAAGACTATGAATGTTGCAAATAAATAATCAAAAAGTAATTAAAAAATAGAATCTCCATTTAATTATTGTCTCGGTTTGTTTAGAAATGAGTCTTGAATTTTGATAGAAAAACTTTTATATTGGGAATTATGGTAATATTATTTTATTATAGAAAACATTCTTTTACTTGTATGAAATACTGTGTGAGAGGATGAATTTATTCATTGAGTTTTTCTGGTGTTTTATTTGGGCAGAATGTGGTGCTAATATTTCATATCACTGAAGAAAAATGTTGAACGACACTTGTCATAATATATTATATAAATTTTTAACATTAACTTTTTAGTTAGCACCATCAAAGCTTAAAATCTAATTTAATCTAGGCTGCTATGAGGCTGAACTTTAGCTAAAGCTGATTTAGGTAATTAAGAAATTGTACATAAGTAAAACTTATATTTTTCACCGCCATTTAAATGTAGTTTCGCGAGAAGTGGTACTAACGACTTGTGACTTGTATATTTTAAAGTGAATTGTCATTCATTTGTGCCAATCCTAATAAAACTACGCCAACTTAGATGTCTTATGCCCGTTTTCACCATCAATCCCTAATTTTTAAGTGACCCCTATGGTAACACATAACAGGAATTTTGTTTTCAAAGGGGGTCACTTAAAAATTAGGGATTGATGGTGAAAATGGGCATTAATCAATCGTACTTTGATAAAATAAGCCTCAGCGCCTTAGCGGTTAAAACGTTGAACCACTAAAGCGCTGAGGGCTGCAAAATGCCCTAAAAATCTACTTAGGTAACCCGTTTAAGCTATATTAATGTATGGCGATAGGATAAATAATTTTTAAGGACTAATCTTTACCGACAACGGCACAACAAACAATATTATATGTAGTTGTAAAGGATCTAAAGCAACAAAATGTTTGATGTGGTGTCGACTGTACACTCAGATGCATAAATAAAACCTAAGTTTATTTTTTTATATATTTCACATTATATTTTAATACATTTTATGAGGCTTCCAATATTTAAATTCGTGTCTTGACTAAAGTGCCATACAGAGAACTGGCTGATTATTCAAAGATTTTAAGTTAAGATGTTGTCCACTTATTTGTATATTTTTAGATAAAATTAGGTATTTTATAGGTGTTAAATACATATGGGCAATTTTTTGTATATAATTGAAGAAGACTGTATATTTTGTATGTGTTTTTAAGTGTTGTCAAATGGGCGAATTAAATTAAAAAATATAATATATTCGTGTTTCTTTTTTATAACAAGGAATTGATGAAATAAAATACTTTTATTTATTTTATTAATTTATTTAAATAGTTTTAACATTATAAAGACTTACTTTTATTGAATTTTCCTTTATTCTTTCCTAATTTGTTTTTATTTTTGTTTAGTTTCTTTCCGTTCCGTTCTTTGTTTTTTCCGAATTTATTTTGTTTGTTTTTGTTAAACTTTTTTTCCCCTTTTTCCTTGTTCTTATTGAAGCTATTATCTTTGTCTATTTTACGTTGTTTTTTATTGAAACCATTTTTAATCTTATCTGTGTCTGCGGCTGTGTCTGATTTTTCAGCATCTTTTTCATTTTCCAGCTTTCTCCTGTAAGAAGAAATAGTCATTATATTTTTTAAATTATATGTTTTGCGAATTTAGAGGTTCAGTCCTTAAAACATGGTTCTAAAGTGTTATTGTGACACCCAAAATGGCAAAGTTGACGATACAACCATAGTCCAACGTAACATGTTGCGAACTTACTACTTTGGGTGTCACGTTATATTTAAAACTGACTGTACCATGATAAAGTAAATTCAAAACTAGTAAGTATTAAACGAGACTTGGATCCTAAGTACTGTAACTGTAATTAAGCCTAAAGTTCGGTCGCAGAGCACGTAGAATTTCGTCCAATGACCGCACGCTACCCATTCTTATAGCTCGAGCGTAATTATATTGATGTCGCGCTCGCACGAAATTCTACGTGCTCGGCGATCGGACTTTAGACCATTTATGTATTTAATTAGTTATACCAGGACTGTTCATCTCCGCGAGTTTACATCGAAAACAAAACACGCACGATGGCCCACCTACAGGATACTATTCGACAAGGCCTCACATACGAGCGAACATTGACTCACGCACGCGTATTCTTGTGTATGATGGAAGAAAATAAAGAAAAATGTACTAAATACTGTGCAGTATTTAACTGCCTAAATAATAATAAAAACAGAATGTACTTTTTTAAGTTGCCTCAAGACACTCAGAGGTAAATAAGTAGTTAATATTATTCATGATAATTCATGCTAAATCATGTATTTCCTCCGCCATTTTCCGCAGTTTGGCACCTCACGTCACATCATTTTACCGAAGTCAGCCCTATAGCTTCGGCGCAGTGCCGATCACTGACGTTTGTCAGCAAAATGGTGCTTGACTCTTGAGACAGGCTAAATTACACCATATTGTTAATGACATTGAGCATACATTTTTTTAAATACCTTCGCGAAGTAAAACTTCTGTACGTAGTACTTATTATTATTCTGTGGTTGTACTCACTTGCTGGGCTTCTCGAGTATTGTGGAGATTTTGTCGCGATGCGGCGCTTTGTTCACCAGCTTCTTCCGCTTGTTGGGGTTTTGTTTTAGCTTCAGCATGTATTCTGGAACCTCGCAGCCTGACTGCTTCATCACGGATGCGATGCTATTATATAAAAGGATATTATAGAAAAGATTAAAGAGGAAAATATGAAGTAGAAAGTCTGAAGAAAAAGATTGAAAAATAAGTTTGAGGAGGAGCAGATAAATGGAAATTTAAGAAAAGCAGTGATTTTGCAGAACAGATAAGATTTAGAATATTCAGTATGTAAACAGGAATTTATCTCTAATAGGAGACATTCTTAAAAGCACTAGTTTAAGAGCGAGAGGACAGATATTGGGAGTACCATTATCTAGCAGACCGCATGATAAAAATAAAGAGTCCTTAAAACAGACCATGAAATGAAATCAGTAACAAGTACCTTCTGAGGTTGACAACATCATCTTGAGTGAAGAATGTGATGGCACGCCCTTTCTGCCCTGCTCTGCCTGCGCGTCCTATCCTGAAAACGGAACATAATTCATTAAAATTTTTTTTACAGTTGGCTAAAGAGCTAAGATCTATTTTATGATTTTAACCACAAGTGGGAATTTCTTGGCCTGAATGTGACAACGTCACAACGAAGACGGTAAAAGATTCGGGTGAAGCCGCCCGGAATCTACAGATTATTTTATNCATTTTATCTCCAACAGGCGAAACACAACAATGATGTTAACATTGTTGGTATGGCCTGTAGGCCTAGGATGCGCGCCGCGATAAGCGGTCATCACGTCATTTTATCGATTTTGCCCATACATTTCGACGTCGATAAGAGTATATCACGACGCGCATCCTAGCCTAGCTGGCCACAGACTTAACATTAAACAAAATAGCTCTACCTATTGTTTTAAACTTTCATGGTCATCATGTCAGCCATAGGATCCCTCCCCTAATGCTTTCCACGTTGATCGATTGGTAGCGGCCTGCGTCCAGCGTTTCCCTGCTACCTTTACCCACTTCAGCTTGCTAATCCGTTAGGCTGTGTCAGCGACTTTAGTTCGTTTACGGATTTCCTCATTTCTGATTCGATCTCGCAAAGAAACACCAAGCATAGCCCTCTCCACTTTCATGGTCACTTAATTATTATTACTGACGGGATTGATACCATAAACCTTAATTTTGAGTTTCCGATATTTCGGCACTGTTAACTCAAAATTAAGGTACATGGTATCAATCCCGTCAGTAATACAAATTATAGCTCTACTTGTTTGTTACAGTCACTGTTATATTGGAATCCGTTCACATGTCATATACCCACGTTCATTAGATATGTTGAACTGACCTGTGCACGTATGCGATGGCGGAGGGCGGGAAGTCGTAGTTGACGACGAGGCGCACCCCGCGGAAGTCGATCCCGCGGCCCAGCAGCTCGGTGCAGATCAGCACCCATGTGCGACCCACGCGGAAGCTGCGCACTGAGTTGTCTCGCTGCAAATTGATACATTTTGGTTGTACGCACAGACATCATATGAAGCCAAACAGGAAAAAAAAGAATGAGACATGTATAGGCTCCTTAAGAGCATTTGACGATTTGTAAGTACTAATTTAATTAGTCTAATCAAATAAAGATAATTTTGATTTTTTTATTTTGCGTGGCTTCGTATGTCGGTCATGCAGGTTATATTTCAACAAAAATGACCCTGATGTGCTGTTGACTAATTATGGAGTTGGCATAATCTAAATAGAGACACTGTCTTCTAATAGGGAGATAATTTTCTTTATATTGACAGCCTTTTTGTTTTCCTTACATGGATTTTAAGACAAGAAAAAAAAAACAGCTACAACTAAACCAAAAGTAACTCTTTTTTTTACAATTAAAAGGAATTGTCACAAAAAGTTATTCAATCAACAGACATTCCATAAATATTTGAAGATAAAATCCAACGGTGGCGCTAGTGAGCAATAATGTAAGCCTGAGCCAAAATCTGCCTTTACTAAGCCTATGTGTATCATGTTATTTACCTGCGTTTGCGTCCTGTCCGCATGTATAACATCCACGTTAATACCGTCGTATATCAACTCCTTGAACAACTGTTTCGCTCGCTCTTTACTTTGTACGAACACTGAAAAAAAAAATTATCATGTATTAATTCTACGGAAATTTTCAGTCAGAAAGTGGATATCGTAGAGGCAACTAACGGAGAAACATGTGAACATTAAGGCCTCCCAACCAAGGCTGGCCAGCGAGTGGGAGTGTGAGCCAAATTCTTCATTTGCCTCTGGTAAATAAGAGAGCTTCGTCCCTCTGGTAAAAGGACTTGATGAAATATTGTATTAATCACACAGGGCAAAGTTGATTTACCTAAAACAGGGGGCTTGAGGCCTTTTTGCACTAGCTGCCTGAACGCGACTAGTTTGCCGCTCTCGTTGCCGCAGTAAAGCAGCTCTTGTTCCACCAAGTTTGTAGCTGCGTTCCTAGAAATAAAATAAACATAAGAAACTCTTGGTTTATATCTGAGCTGATAGAAAGTGATGGTAAGGCCGAATTCGGAAGCGAACTTCGNTATTTTATATCAAACAGGCGAAACACAACAATGCTGTTAACATTGTTGGTATGGCCTGTAGGCCTAGGATGCGCGCCGCGATAAGCGGTTATCACGTCATTTTATCGATTTTGCCCATACATTTCGACGTCGATAAGAGTATATCACGACGCCCATCCTAGCCTGGCTGGCCACAGACTTAACATTAAACAAAATAGCTCTAACTTTCATGGTCACTAACATAATTATTATTACTGACGGGATTGCTAACATGTACCATCGGCAACAGTGTTAACTATCCATTGCCTGTCATGTCGTCTCGTTCTATCGCAAAGAATCACCATTTGATGAGAGCGAGAGCAAAAACGGAAATGGATAGTTAACAGTGTAGCCGTGTGTACCTTAATTTTGAGTTTCCGATATTTCGGCACTGTTAACTCAAAATTAAGGTACATGGTATCAATCACGTCAGTAATAATAAAGTATAGCTCTACTTGTTTGTTACAGCAGGCCTATTCATCTACGCGAGTTTACATCGAAAACAAAACACGCACGATTGCCCACCTACAGGATACTATTCGACAAGGCCTCACATACGAGCGAACATTGATTCACGCACGCGTATTCTTGTGTATGATGGAAGAAAATAAAGAAAATGGTGTACCTACTAAATACTGTGCAGTATTTAACTGCCTTAATAATAATAAAAACACAGAATGTACTTTTTTAAGTTGCCTCAAGATACTGAGAGGTAAATAAGTAGTTAATATTAGTCATGATAATTCATGCTAAATTATGTATTACCTCCGCCATTTTCCGCAGTTTGGCACCTCACGTCACATCATTTTACCGAAGTCAGCCCTATAGCTTCGGCGCAGTGCCGATCACTGACGTTTGTCAACAAAATGGTGCTTGACTCTTGAGACAGACTAAATTACACCATATTGTTAACGACATTGAGCATACATTTTTTTAAATACCTTCGCGAAGTAAAACTTCTGTACGTAGTACTTATTATTATTCTGTGGTTACAGTCACTGTTATATTGGAATCTGTTCACATGTCATACACCCACGTTCATGAAATATGTTGAACTGACCTGTGAACGTAAGCGATGGCGGAGGGCGGAAAGTCGTAGTTGACGACGAGGCGCACCCCGCGGAAGTCGATCCCGCGGCCCAGCAGCTCTGTACAGATTAGCACCCATGTGCGACCCACGCGGAAGCTGCGCACTGAGTTGTCTCGCTACAAATTGATACATTTTTGTTATAGGTACATACTAAACAATGTGTGTTACCAGTGATGACTTATGACTCGGAAACGTGGCCTCTCACCATAGGCCTTATATAGAAGCTCAAAGTTGCACAGCGTGCTATGGAGAGGGCTATGCTCTGTGTTACTTTACGAGATCGAATCAGAAATGAGGAGATCCGTAAACGAACTAAAGTCGCTGATATAGCCCGACGGATTAGCAAGCTGAAGTGGCAATGGAGAGGGCACATAGTACGCAGAACTGACGGTCGACTGGACTTCGAAGGTTTTGGAGTGGAGGCCGCGTACCGGAACGCAGCGTGGGACGTCCACCCACAAGGTGGACCGACGACATCATAAAGATAGCAGGAAGGCGCTGGACGCAGGCCGCTACCAACCGGGCAACATGGAAAGCATTGGGGGAGGCCTATGTTCAGCAGTGGACGTCCTGTGGCTGTGATGATGACTAAACAAAAATGTTGTCGAGTAAGTTACTTTACTATACAGGGTGTTAGGTAAATGGGTATATGAGCCGACACTTGCCCATGTTAACATGGTCATATAAATGGTATGGTGAAGTCAGAAATTTGATATCATCATTTTATTTTTTTTTAATTTTCATACAAAATAAATTTTATAAAATCCGATTTGTATGAGAATTAAAATAATTAAAATGAAGATATCAATTTTCTGACTTCACCATACCATTTATATGACCATGTTAACATGGGCTAGTGTCGGCTCATATACCCATTTACCTAACACCCTGTAGATCTAGCGCTGACACAGTGCCTGAGGTATGTGATCGGCACGGAAGAGATGATTTTGACATATTATGACGTGACAGAGCATACAAACTTGAAGTCTCGCCGACTTTGACATAACAAAAACACCCTCCCGTAGAGCTAGAGATATAAATCGCTTAGTCGAATAACAAAATGGATTGTCAATTTTGTTCTATTTAAACATACGAATAACTCCCACTGGGAATCTATCTTGGGATATCTGGGTCTGACACAGGACTTTGTCCAGCAGTGGACGTCGGCTTTGAAACGCTAGCTAACTCACGAGTCTTTGAAACAACTCTTTGGTTCAATTGTCAATAGACAGTTTGACACCATACCTCAGTAATTTAAAACCACAACTTTTTTAAAAAGACCCTTCATTCTGGTCTTAAAAACTTAATTAATTTTAAATTACCTGTAAATTACGATTTTTGATCGCATTGTGATTGAAAAAAAGTAGTTTGATTGAGTTGAAAAAATAGTGACGTCATTTGCTTGTAGTGCCATACAAAATCTACGGGAGAGTTTCGTTTTGACAGTTTTAAAAAGTACGTCAATTGATTGGTGGTGTCAACATGTCTATTTGTTGTATCACTTGATGCATGTTCTAATTTTACCTGCGTTTGCGTTCTGTCCGCGTGTATAACGTCTACGTTGATGCCATCGTATATCAATTCCTTGAACAGCTGTTTCGCTCGCTCTTTACTTTGCACGAACACTGAAAGAAAATTATCATGTATATTATCTATGGAAATTTTGAGTCAGTCAAAGTCAAAAAGTGGATATCGTATAGTTCCAAAATACTGAACTGTCCTATCGATGACATTGACAGCGGGGCGCCACCGTCAATACCGAATCGCGGGTTCCGATTTTTGCCATGTTGGAAACCATAAAGTTGAACGATGGTAGCGCCCCCCTGTCATTGAGTTTGGCGGGACAGTTCAGCGTGGGTCATCTATAGAGACAACCAGTTTTTTGATTCATAGTTAAATTAACTAATTGTTAAATTTTGCTACTAATGGTTAAATATTAACAAAATGTAAACTAATAGTTAAAAAATGTACTAAAAGTCAAGCTAACCATTGTTCTAAAAACGTTTTTTTCTGATATTTAACCACTTGTCATTTGACATCTGTCAAATTTAACCATTGGTTATTTTAACTAAGAATCAAAAAACCGGGCCTAAGGGAAAAATATGCAAACATTAGGCCTCCCAACCAAGCCTGGCCAGCGAGTGGGAGTGTGAGCCAAATTCTTCATTTGCCTCTGGTAAATAAGAGAGCTTCGTCCCTCTGGTAAAAGGACTTGATGAAAATATTGTATTAATCACACAGGTCATGGTTTATTTACCTAAAACAGGGGGCTTGAGGCCTTTCTGCACCAGCTGCCTGAACGCGACTAGTTTGCCGCTTTCGTTGCCGCAGTATAGCAACTCTTGTTCTACTAAGTTTGTTGCTGCGTTTCTAGAAATAAAATAAATAAACATAAATAAGAAATTCTTGGTTTATATCTGAGCTTATAGAAATTGATGGTAAGGCCTAATTTGGAAGTGAACTTCGCTCGGAATCTATAGCCATAAAGACAGTTTCTTTATGGCTAAAGATTCCGATTTACCACTATTTTTGGCGACAGATTTAGTAAAATCGGTGGTAGCTAGCCAGGTGGACTTAGAGCTAACAAGGACTGCTACCAACTAAACCGAACGGGACCTCTTGCTTTGGTCCGGAATCTGATTACATCTGTTGTCTGGTACCCAAGCATTGCTTTATGATTAGACTAGGTTTTACCCGCGGCTTCACCCGCGTGAAATTTGGTTTGTCACATATCGTAATAAATTATAGCCTATGTTATTTTGGATGAAAAACAATATTAAGTAGGTACTGTAAAGTTTCATCAAAAGCCATTCAGTAGTTTTTGCGTGAAAGAGTAACAAATATGTTCCAGACATCCATAGAAACTTTCGCATTTATAATATTAGTAGGACTAGGATACTAGGATGGTGCAGTGTAAAATGTCCAAGGGTTTTTGTAATTATTTCAGCTGACTAGGGATTTTAATCTCACCGTTGTCCCACAGTGATGTTGAGCAAGCCGCGCATATTGTGGCGACACCACTTGGCCACGGGCGGCGTGTGCGTGGCGCTGAACATGGCCACTCTTCGCTGCTGGGGCTTATTCCACTATTCCCGTTTTGTTCACTATTCCCCGTTATATTAGAATTTTATTTTTAACATTGTAAGCTCCAATTGGCGTTAACGGGGAATAGTGAACATAAAGTTTACTAATCCCCGTTGACGGGGATTGTCAATGGGGAATAGTGGAATAAGCCGCTGCTGGTGGCCGCACGCGCTGGAAATCTGGTCCAGCTGCTGTCTGATGACTGCTAAAGTGTAAGAGTCTCACCTTAGTCCCACAGTGATATTGAGCAAGCCGCGCATATTGTGGCGACACCACTTGGCCACCGGCGGCGTGTGCGTGGCGCTGAACATGGCCACTCTTCGCTGCTGGGGCTTATTCCACTATTCCCCGTTGACAATCCCCGTCAACGGAGATTAGTGAACTTTTTGTTCACTATTCCCCGTTATATTAGGATTTTTTTTAACATAGTTATTAGTTAAATTACTTTAGGTATACTACCTTAATTAACATATTGTTACTAACCAAATAATTTCATAGTCCCATTTAAGTTTCTTGTATTTAGGCTAAGTTTTTATTCAATAAATTTATCTTATCTTATCTTATTGTAAGCTCCAATTGGCGTTAACGGGGAATAGTGAACATAAAGTTTACTAATCCCCGTTGACGGGTATTGTCAATGGGGAATAGTGGAATAAGCCGATGCTGGTGGCCGCACGTGCTGAAGATGTGGTCCAGCTGCTGTCTGATGACTGCTACAGTGTAAGAACCTCACCTCTGTCCCACAGTGATGTTGAGCAAGCCACGCATGTTATGACGACACCACTTGGCCACCGGCGGCGTGTGCGTGGCGCTGAACATGGCCACTCTTCGCTGCTGGTGGCCACACGCGGTGAAAATCTGGTCCAGTTGCTGGCGGAAGTCGGAGGCCTGTTCTGCTGAGCCTTCGAAGAGCTTGTCCGCCTCGTCGATGATTAGCCAGCGGACTCTGTGGAAAGTCGGAACTGGTTAGTAACAATCGAATTGCTAACTCGTCTATAAACACTTGAGATGAGAGACTTTCTCTAATGAGAATAAGTTCGATTCAAAAACATACTTTACATACTTTACGTAGTCAAAATTCACTGACTGCAAAGGTATATGTGCATTGCAAAACATATATTACTGGATATCTGTATTCTTAATGAATAACAGAGTAATCCTAGGTTTCTTATTCTTACTTACTTGTCTAATGTGATATTGACACTATCCTGGTTGAGCAAGTAGCACAAACGGTTAGGAGTGCTTATGACAATGTCTGAAACAATACAAAGTTACTTCATTAAATACTATCACCACAGATACAATATTTTTGACAAAGAATAGCAAATACATTAAGGCTGAGTTGCACCACCTGACTTTGACGATCATCATCATCATAATTTCAGCCATAGGACGTCCACTGCTGAACATAGGCCTCCCGCAATGCTTTCCATGTTGATCGATGGTCTGCGTCCAGCGCTTCCCCGCTACCTTTATGATGTCGTCGGTCCACCTTGTAGGTGGAATTCCCACGCTGCGTTTTCCGGTACGCGGCCTCCATTCCAGAACCTTGCTGCCCCATCGGCCGTCAGTACTATGTGCCCTGCCCATCGTCACTTCAGCTTGCTAATCCGTCGGGCTATGTCAGCGACTTTAGTTTGACGATAACCGGCGTTTTTTGTATGGAGTTTGACAGATTTTTGACGTTTGTTAAAGTCAAAGTAAGATGCAACTCAGTCTAATTAAAGTTACCATAAACTTTCTGTCCACCCACAAGGTTGACCGACGACATCATAAAGGTAGCAGGAAGGCGCTGGACGTAGGCCGCTACCAACCGGGCAACATGGAAAGCATTGGGGGAGGCCTATGTTCAGCAGTGGACGTCCTATGGCTGAGATGATGATGATGATGATAAACTTTCTAACTTACCGCTCTTCCTAATAGTGGCTTCTCTCTCTTTAACTTTGCTCTCTTTGACGCTCCTGACGACGCTGCATCTTAATTGCGTGGCCGCACTCAGCCGCAGCACCTCGCGGTGTATCTGTTGCGCCAGCTCTCTCGTGGGACACAGGATGAGCGCCCGAGGGCCCCCCGAAGGGGCCCCCAGTGTGTGCAGGATTGGAAGCAGGAATGCGGCGGTTTTACCCGAACCGGTGGGAGCGCACGCGAAGATTTGGCGATCCTGGACGGGATTTAAAAGAATATGTAACTTATTGGAGGAATTCGTAGTGTTTCAGTTGCAAGAGGATGATGAAGAAAGGACAATGGGCAAAATGGTACCCGGCTCCAATAGATATGAGTCTAGTATCGTTTGAAAGGTCTTACCAAGATGAACAACTTTTACTATGACCACCAGCCTCAGATCTGGTTGTGTACGAAGATATACGTACTTTTTTGCAGAATGGTACCCGGCTCCAATAGTAATGTTTGTAGTGTCATTTGAAAGGTCNTGCCCATCATCCTTTATTCAGATTAAATCTTCAAGCTCAAGCTGTTGATGTTATGAACCAAATGCCGACTTTTTTGTTTCAATAGGTTTCAATCTAGATCTTAAGCTGCAAATATGCTTTACTTTAAAAAAAACTTCAATGTGAAAAGCTATCTGCTTTAAGACAAGTTAAATTGCATTTTATCACAGACGCAGTATACTGCTTGTATGATAAATGAATGTAATTTTTAGTGATTTTATTATGTTGTTTCTTGCTATTGTTGAAGTGAAACTTTCTATCCTTAGAAGGGGTCTTCAAAGGTTTAATGTTCATACCTCCAGCATGCACGGAAGAGCTTGCCTCTGTATAGGCGTGGGTTCGCTGTAGCCGCACTGTGTGACCGTGTCCACTAGGGCTTGCGACACATTGTAGCGCTCCACCAGGTCTGAGAAGCTCTGCAGGGCGGCTGGAACGTGCCGTCCAACCACTTTGATGCCATGCTCATTGCGGAAACGGTTTTGCTGCAAGAAAAGACGAACTTTATTAACATTTGTAACACAATTTTAAATGTTTACTCATTTTAATAATTTGTATTGCTCTCTTGATGTGCAAAAAGTGTATTGAGAAACAGTTGGTTAGCTAAAAATATAACACAGATTAATTTTCGTTTTTATAGCATAAAATAACATGATGATGTGGAATGGTATTTTTGGGAAGTTTTATGGTGATTTTTATATAGTTTAACTAACCTCTTCAAGCTCTAGTTTCTGTTTTAAATCCTCTGGTTTTTCTTTCTTCTCCTTTTTTTTCCTTTTCTGTCCAGCAGATATCCCCTCAACTATCTGTAGCTCATCGTCAGACTCTTGGGTTTCCTCTTCAGCATCTGATATTTCAGATTTTATACTCAAATCATCATCTGCATTTGACTCTAGATCATCTTCTAATTCTTTTTTGCTGTCTAATAATTCTTCTTTTTTTATTGGTACCGTTTTTGCTTTTGGCTGATCCTGTTAATAAGTAAAAGATTTATCTTCAAAATTACAAGCAGAGTGTCTTAAACTGGAGAGATTGAATAGCGTGCAAACGAAACTAGTAGGAGCTTTCTTTTTCAAGACTATAGCAGTTTATTAGACTTGGATTGTATATAAAATACAAATAGTTTTTACAGGTAGAGGTTATGTTACTTACATTGCTTTTCAGACCTAAAACACGCTTTTTGAACGTCAAACCGACGGTCAACTTCTTGAATATATCGTAAGCGTCCATTTTTTACACATTAAAATAGTAATTTTGTAGTAATTTAATTAATAACACGTGCGAAACTTCGAACTCTGTATTGCTGAAGAGAAATACCTGTGAGAGAGAAATACTTTGTTGTTGTCAGTAATGTCAGTTGTCACTGTCAATCTGACAAATGGTAAACTGTGTTCAAGAATTTAATATTAAACAGTACATTTAAGTAGGTACTTTTTATTAATTCAATCATTAAAATTATGGCTAGAGATTTAATTAAGTTTTGTAAAATAATTAAACAGCAGTGTCGTAAAAATTAAAGGTTGTTTTACTCTCATGTGATTGGGCTTTACATTTTAGTACTACTACTCGTCGCTAGATGTCATTAAACACAGCTACAATTTAGTTCTTCTGTTGGTCGCTAGATGGTATTATTGTACGTCCGGTTTTGCTCATCCTACAAATTGGCATTTTCAAAAAACTTTTAAGTTTTTAGTTGGTAGTTGTCTTGTCTTATTGCATTTGAGATAATAATATAATAATGTGTCTCGTTATAAAACGGCATGATAATTATTATAGCTAGAGATTACATTGAGAGAATATAATAAATGTTTCAGTTTCAGTTCCAAGAAAGAAATCATCGGGACTCGAATCCCGACGCCATTTTTGTACATAATTATTTTTTTTATTCACTTTGATGATGCATGTGAACCCCAAGGATGTTGCGTGTATGCAGCGAGTCGGGAAAATCAGAAATTAATTTCATTGACACTACCAATAATTCCAATAAGTACACAACTGTTTTAAAAGACTTCATAATAGTGCCTCACTCAAGTTATTTTTTTAATACGATTCAAGTTTGATTTTAGCAGTTTTAAAATAATTCTTAAAGTATGTCAAATGATTGGTGACGTCGAAAATTTTTTTGTATTCGTCTAATCAAACTAAATATTTTAAAAAATAACCACTAAAAAGAAACTAAAAAATAAAAATATAAATAGACAGGTATTTTCTACTAGATAATTCAAAATAATTTATCTTTTATTTAATCGAATTTGTATTGACTTTTCAACCACTTTCTATTGGGGGTCGGCGATTTATTTTTCGAATTTTTGATTGGTTGAAAGTCTGCTATAGATGGCGCTTGCGCTGCTCATGATTTTTGAAGTAATTATTTGATTGGTTAATAGAAGATTCCGACTCACGCGACGAACCAATCAATTCATTGTTGTTTGAGTCTGCAACTGCAACTCATGAGTTTTTGATTTTCAAAAGTGAAGTGTTGAAAATAATTTTTCATAAAGTGTGAACATTTGTGAATGTGTGTCATGTGAATTATGCAAACTCTTTGTGCTCGTGAAGAACTTTCATCAATGGATTCAAGAGGATGGACATACTCGGCGGATGACCCTGCACATGTCTTGACTCCATACGAGAGCTGGCTGACGGCGATCCTGGCTGCTGTGCGGCTGTTTGCAGGTCAGTGGATTTTCATCCTAGCTAATAATAGTTTAGTCTTTTAGATGGAGTTACTTGCCAGTGCCACCTCTTTGTATTGCATTTGCATACTTACAATTTTTTTTTGTGTGTAGGTGTATCGTAAAATCGTAACATAAATGTATTTTTTACTGTAGGTAGGTACTTAACTATCGCAGTCTTTGAAGTATAATAAAAAAAGGTGGCAGCCCGCGAATTCGTTCGTACGCGTGGATCCCGTATTACCCTCATATGATTGGAGTTTTGTAAATTTCGTTCTTAGTGAGAACCTACGTTCTTAAAGGAACCCCCATGCAAAATTTGAGACTCCTTGCCCTTGTAGTTTCTGAGATTTCGTGATGAATTTTCAGTGTTGAATTTCCAGTGTAATAATTCCAACCAGCTGGGAAAGCTGGGATAGCATGACCAATTTTATTTTGAATTATGTATAATTTTATTTTGTAATTCCATAGATGTAGGAATACGTAGTCTATATTAAGAATGATTGAAGACTTTAGGTAGTAGGTATATCGAGTTCTTCTCCTTGAGAAGCGGTTCTTTGGTTGGTTCGTTTCAAGCAAATGACGTTCACTCCTGGACAAAGGACTCCTCCATAGATTTCCATAACGACCGGTCCTGCGCTGTCCGTGTCCAGGACTCCAGGTACCTACCTATGTCTAGATCGTCGGTACACTTAGTGGGAAGCCTGCCCACATTACGTCTTCCGGCCCGTGGTCTCCACTCGAGAACTTTTCTGCCTACCTTAACGGCCATCAGTTACTAACGTAATGTGTACCACCTACTGCCACTTAAGTTTGGCCATTCTGCGGGTTATTGGTTATATTGCGGATCACCTCATTTCTGATTCGATGATTACGCGGGAAAACTCCGAGCGTAGCACGCTCCAACGCAATGCCCTCTAACTTTGAGCTTTCTTATGAGGCCCATGTGAGCGACCACGTCTACGTTCCGTAGGTATCGCTGACACTGGTCAATGTCATCTCATGAGACACTGCGTTAATTTGGATCATCATCGTCATCATCATTTCAGCCACAGGACGTCCACTGCTGAACATAGGCCTCCCCCAATGACTTCCACAACGCACGGTTGGTAGCGGCCTGCATTCAGCGCCTTCCTGCTACCTTTATCAGGTCGTCGGTCTATTTGGATGTGAATACTTATTTATTTAGTTTATTTTGCTTACTCTTTATTTAATGTTATATAAATTGGTAAACGTACTTAAGGCGAACTCAATGCCTTAAAGGCAGTCTCTACCAGTTTACCTTCGAGAGAGTTGGATACAATGATTCTTGAGAAACTGTCTATAATTTAAACTTAGGTGCTACTACTTTTATTTATTACGCGTGGTCTTGGCTTCATCATACAAAACATTCAATGAATTTTGTAAACAAACTTGTTAAATCTTATGCAGTGGCGGGGCAAGACCTAAATTTGATGTGGGCAAGACAGATTTCGCGAGGCCTTGTTCTGTGGCGACCTGAAGACGGATTTTATGAAATAATAAAAAAACGGGTCAATGGTCTATTCATTGACAGTTTCTGATTTCTTGATTTAGTGATTATTTTTAAAGGAATATTGCGCCAAAGAATAATGTTCGTCACTTAAAACCGTGTTGTTGCTTAATTTTGAGTCTGATTATGGCTGAATTTGTTTGGAAAAAAATATATTTTTATTTTAAACTACATTGTTTAGCTATCAAGAATTTCTATTTAATAGTCAATGTTTGCATTTATTGTCGTATTGTGATTTATTGTCATCTCCACCTTGATACATTTTTTCAAAATTTTTGAGGCGCGAGGCCCCTTGTACCGCGAGGCCGTAGGCGGTGGCCCACGTCGCCCACGCCTTACGCCGCCACTGATCTTATGTTATTCCTGACTTTTACTCCACCCTAATTTTCGTAGTAAAATCTCTCAAAAGCGTAAAATCGTCGCCTACGCCGAAAACATACAAACGTTCAAAAATTGTTGACCATTCTTCAGGCACTATGTCGTTTTTCTGCTCTCCTGTATAACTTTATGCGATCCACACAGCTTATGACCCAAAGACCACATAGGTTGTGTGGTCTGTGTTATGACCGCAGTCTGTGGAGGAACATTAAGTAGGTATTATGTAGGTACCTATGTGGTCACGCGCGATCCTCATCAGTGAGGGACCGAGGAAGAAGTATAATTTTACAAGTTGTGCGTGATGTTCCTTTTGTTACGGATCGTCATAAATTATAGCCTAATTATTAGGTATGTTATTCTTATTTACTACATTAAAATCCGTTATGCAGTAGTTTTTGCGTGAAAGAGTAACAAATATGTTAACATCAAAACATCCACACAAATTTACGCATTTATAATATTAGGATAGTAGGTGNAACAATCGAATTGCTAACTACCTCGTCTATAAACACTTGAGATGAGAAACTCCTCTAATGGGAATAACTTCGATTCAAAAAAATACTTTTCTTGGTTGTCAAAAACAAGGTCTGTCATACTAGCTAACAGCAAATGCAAATGTGTGTGAGTTACAGCAAAACAACATTTTTGGAATTCCGTATTTTTTAATGGACAATAGAGTAATCATAGATTTCTTACTTGTCTAATGTGATATTGACACTATCCTGGTTGAGCAAGTAGCACAAACGGTTAGGAGTGCTTATAACAATGTCTGAAACAATACAAAGTTACTTCATTAAATACTATCACCACAGATACAATATTTTATTTATTTACCTATTTTATTTATTTATTGTTTAAGATTTACCAACAACATATCAATTTACATGCATCGTTACATTATTAGAAAGCTGGAATCTAAAAGATATGCCTTTACAGGTAAATACAGCATTCAAAGAAAATAAGCTTGCCGACAGAAAAAAAAAGAACAGATTTTAACCAATTAATCTAGGTAGTCACACATAGAAGAGAAAAAAAAAACAATTTTTGACAAAACAATCCAAATAGTTAAATTAATAATAACTCAGTAAAAATAAAATTTGGCATCAGTTCCCTATTTAGCCATTAGCTATCACTCAATTTTTGACAAAGAATAGCAAATACATTAAGTTGCACCACTGAACTTTGACCATAACCAGTGTTTTTTGTATAAAGTTTGACAGATTTTTGACGTTTGTTAAAGTCAAAGTAAGTTGCAACTCAGTCTAATTAACGTTACTATAAACTTTCTAACTTACCGCTCTTCCTAATAGTGGCTTCTCTCTCTTTAACTTTGCTCTCTTTGACGCTCCTAACGACGCTGCATCTCAGTTGCGTGGCCGCACTCAGCCGCAGCACCTCGCGGTGTATTTGCTGTGCCAGCTCTCTCGTGGGACACAGGATGAGCGCCCGAGGGCCCCCCGAAGGGGCCCCCAGTGTGTGCAGGATTGGAAGCAGGAACGCGGCGGTTTTACCCGAACCGGTGGGAGCGCACGCGAAGATTTGGCGATCCTGGACGGGATTTAAAAGAATATGTAACTTATTGGAGGAATTCGTAGTGTTTCAGTTGCAAGAGGATGAAGAAATTTATTCAGATGAAATCTTCAAGCTCAAGCTGTTGATGTTATAAACCAAATGCAGACTTTTTTGCTTCAATAGGTTTCAATTTAGATCTTAAGCTGCAAATATGCTTTACTTTGAAAAAAACTTCAATGTGAAAAGCTAAATGCTTTAAGACAAGTTAAATTGCATTTTATCACAGACGCAGTATACTGCTTGTATGATAAATTGATGTAATTTTTAGTGACTTTATTATGTTGTTTCTTGCTATTGTTGAAGTGAAACTTTCTATCCTTACAAGGGGTCTTCAAAGGTTTAATGTTTATACCTCCAGCATGCACGGAAGAGCTTGCCTCTGTATAGGCGTGGGTTCGCTGTACCCGCACTGAGTGACCGTGTCCACCAGGGCTTGCGACACATTGTAGCGCTCCACCAGGTCTGCGAAGCTCTGCAGGGCGGCTGGAACGTGCCGTCCAACCACTTTGATGCCATGCTCATTACGGAAACGGTTTTGCTGCAAGAAAAGACGAACTATATTAACATTTATAACACAATTTGAAATATTAACTCATTTTAACAATTTGTATTGCTCTCTTATTGTGTACAAAGTGTATTGAGGAATAGTTGGTTAGCTATAAAAATAACATAGATCTTAATTTTATAGTACTACACATTTTCGTTTTTATAGCATAAAATACCATGATGATGTGGAATGGTATTTTTGGGAAGTTTTATGGTGATTTTTATATTTATATAGTTTAACTAACCTCTTCAAGTTCTAGTTTCTTCTTTAAATCCTCTGGTTTTTCTTTCTTCTCTTTTTTCTTCCTTTTCTGTCCAGCAGATATCCCCTCAACTATCTGTAGCTCATCGTCAGACTCTTGGGTTTCCTCTTCAGCATCAGATATTTCAGATTTTATACTCAAATCATCATCTGCATTCGATTCTAGATCATCTTCTAATTCTTTTTTGCTATCTAATAATTCTTCTTTTTTTATTGGCACCGTTTTGGCTTTTGGCTGATCCTGTTAATAAGTAAAAGATTTATCTTCAAAATTACAAGCAGAGTGTCTTAAACTGGAGAGATTGAATAGCGTGCAAACGAAACTAGTAGTAGCTTTCTTTTTCAAGACTATAGCAGTTTATTAGACTTGGATTGTACCTATATAAAATACAAATAGTTTTTACAGGTAGAGGTTATGTTACTTACATTGCTTTTCAGACCTAAAACACGCTTTTTGAACGTCAAACCGACGGTCAACTTCTTGAATATATCGTAAGCGTCCATTTTTTACACATTAAAATAGTAATTTTGTAGTAATTTAATTAATAACACGTGCGAAACTTCGAACTCTGTATTCGTATTGCTGAAGAAATACTTTGTTGTTGTCAGTTGTCACTGTCAATCTGTCAAAATGCTAAACTGTGTTCAAGAATTTATTAAAACAGTACATTTAAGTAGGTACTTTTTATTAATTCGATTATTTAAATTATTCCTAGATTTAATTAAGGTTTTTAAAATAATTAACAGTAGTATCGAAAAAATTAAATGTTGTTTTAACTCTCATGTGATTGGGCTTTACATTTTAGTACTACTACTCGTCGCTAGATGTCATTAGACACACCTACAATTTAGTTCTTCTGTTGGTCGCTAGATGGTAGTATTGTACGTCCGGTTCTATTCGTCCTACAAATTGGTAGCATTTTCAAAAAACTTTTTTTGGTAGGTAGTTGTCTTATCTTATAATGATGTTTCTCCATAAAAAACGGCATCAATATTACAGAAAGAGATTATATTGAGAGAATATAATAAATGTTTCAGTTGCAGTTCCAAGTAAGAAATCATCGGGACTCGAATCCCGACGCCATTAATTGTTGTACCTACATTTTATTTAATTCAGTTTGATGTGAACCCCTAGGATGCTGCGTGTACGCAGCGAGTCGGGAAAACAGTATTATGATAGGTAATTAAATTTATTGACACCACCAATAATTCCAATAAGTACACAACTGTTTTAAAAGACTTCATAATAATGCCTCACTCAAGTTATTTTTTTAATACGATTCAAGTTTAATTTTATTAGCTTTAAAATAATTCTTAAAGTATGTGAAATGATTGGTGACGTCGACGATCTTTTTGTATTCGTCTAATCAAACTGAATATTTAAAAAATAATTACTAAAAAGAAATTAAAAAAATCGAAATAAAAAAAGACTTAGGTATTTTCTACTAGATAATTCTATTAATTTATCATTAAATTAATAGAATTTGTATTGACTTTTCAACCACTTTCTATTGGGGGTCGGCGATTTATTTTTCGAATTTTTGATTGGTTGAAAGTCTGCTATAGATGGCGCTTGCGCTGCTCATGATTTTTGAAGTAATTATTTGATTGGTTAATAGAAGATTCCGACTCACGCGACGAACCAATCAATTCATTGTTGTTTGAGTCTGCAACTGCAACTCATGAGTTTTTGATTTTCAAAAGTGAAGTGTTGAAAATATTTTTAATAAAGTGTGAGTGAACATTTGTGATGTGAATAATTATGCAAACTCCTTGTGCTCGTGAAGAACTTTCATCAATGGATTCAAGAGGATGGACCCTGCATGACTCCACACGAGAGCTGGTTGAAGGCGATCCTGGCTGCCGTGCCACTGCGTGCAGGTCAGTGGATTTTCGTCCTAGCTAATAATAGTTTAGTCTTTTAGATGGAGTTACTTGCCAGTGCCACCTCTTTGTATTGCATTTGCATACTTACCATTTTTTTGTGTGTGAGTGTATCGTAAGCGTAACATAAACGTATTTTTTACTGTAGGTAGGTACTTAACTATCGCAGTCTTTGAAGTATAATAAAAATAGAGGCCGCCCGCGAATTCGTTCGTACGCGTGGATCCCGTATTACCCTCATAAGATTGGAGTTTTGTAAATTTCGTTCTTAGTGAGAACCTACGTTCTTAAAGGAACCCCCATGCAAAATTTGAGACTCCTTGCCCTTGTAGTTTCTGAGATTTCGTGATGAATTTTCAGTGTTGAATGTCCTGTGATATAATTCCAACCAGCTGGGAAAGCCGGGATAGCATGACCAATTTTTAATTATGTATAATTTTATTTTGTAATTCTACCCATAGGTGTAGGAAAACGTAGGCTATGAGAATGATTGAAGATTGTAATATCGAGTTCTTCTCATCTTGAGAAGCGGTTCGTTCGTTGGTTCGTTAAAACCAAATGACGTTCACTACTGGACAAAGGCCTCCCCCAAAGACTTCCATAAAGACCGGTCGCGGTCCAAGACTCCAGGTCTACCTACTTCCTACGCCACCAGACCGTCGGTCCACCTAGTGTGAGGCCTGCCCACATTACGTCTTCCGGCTCGTGGTCGCTACTCGAGAACTTTTCTGCCAACCCCAACGGCCATCAGTTACGTAATGTGTACCACCCACTGCCACTTAAGTTTGGTAATTCTGCGAGCTATTTGGTTTTCTTGCGGATCACCTCATTTCTGATTCGATGATTAGGTAGGTACCTACGCGGGGAAACTCCGAGCGTAGCACGCTCCAACGCAACGCCCTCTAACTTTGAGCTTTCTTATGAGGCCCATGTAAGCGACAACGTCTACGTTCCGTAGGTGTCGCTGGCACTAGTCAAATACCTGCTTATCATCTCATGAGACACTGCGTTAATTTGGATCATCATCATCATTTCAGCCATAGGACGTCCACTGCTGAACATAGGCCTCCCCCAATGACTTCCACTACCCACGGTTGGTAGCGGCCTGCATCCAGCGCCTTCCTGCTACCTTTATCAGGTCGTCGGTCTATTTGGATGTGAATACTTATTTATTTAGTTTATTTAATGTTATTATTCTTTATTTAATGTTATATAAATTGGTAAACGTACTTAAGGCGAACTCAATGCCTTAAAGGCAGTCTCTACCAGTTTACCTTCGAGAGAGTTGGATACGATGATTCTTGAGAAACTGTCTATAATTTAAACTTAGGTGCTACTACTTTTATTTATTACGCGTGGTCTTGGCTTCATCATACAAAACATTCAATGAATTTTGTAAACAAACTTGTTAAATCTTATGTTATTCCTGACTTTTACTCCACCCTAATTTTCGTAGTAAAATCTCTCAAAAGCGTAAAATCGTCGCCTACGCCGAAAAGGGGCGAACATCATACAAACGTTCAAAAATTGTTGACCATTCTTCAGGCACTATGTCGTTTTTCTGCTCTCCTGTTTAATTTTATGCGTTTCATACATTTTTATGATCGCAGACTGCGGAGGAAGGAACACTATATATAATGTAGGTATGAGGTCGCGATCCTCATCAGTGAGGGACCGAGGAAGAAGTATAATAAAATTTACTAGCTTTTGCCTGCGGCTTCACCCGCGTGAAGTTCATTTTGTCACGGATCGTCATAAATTATAGCCTAATTATGTTATTCTTATTTACTACATTATAATCTGTTATGCAGTAGTTTTTGCGTGAAAGAGTAACAAACATGTTAACATCAAAACATCCACACAAATTAACGCATTTATAATATTATTAGGATAGTAGGATTAGGTAGTAGGATTTATAATATCATCATCATCATTTCAGCCATAGGATGTCCACTGCTGAACATAGGCCTCCCCCAATGACTTCCACATCGCACGGTTGGTAGCGACCTGCATCCAGCGCCTGCTAAAGATATCAAGTCGTCGGTCCACTTTGTGGGTGGATGTCTCACGCTGCGTTTTCCGGTACGTGGCCTCCACTGCAGAACCTTGCTGCCCCATCGGCCTTCAGTTCTGCATACTATGTGCCCTGCCCATTGCCGATTGCCACTTCAGCTTGCTAATCCGTCGGGCTATGTCAGTGACAGTGTCATTTTATAATATTAACTTAGTACCTTAGGATTAAAAAGCTCGCTCCTTTGCGACGTCGGCGACGAAATGTAGGTATTGTAGGAAAGTGTAGAAATAATGGGCTTCTCTTNGGATAGTAGGATTTGGTAGTGGGATTTATTATATCATCATCATTTCAGCCATAAGACGTCCACTGCTGAACATAGGCCTCCCCCAATGACTTCCACATCGCACGGTTGGTAGCGGCCTGCATCCAGCGCCTTCCTGCTAAACGTGATACCTAGTCGTCGGTCCACTTTATGGACGGACGTCTCACGCTCGCTGCGTTTTCCGGTATGTGGCCTACACTGCAGATCCTTGCTGCCCCATCGGCCGTCAGTTCTGCGTACTATGTGCCCTGCCCATTGCCACTTCAGCTTGCTAATCCGTCGGGCTATGTCAGTGACAGTGTCATTTTACCTATAATATTAACTTAGTAGGATAAAAAAGCTCTCCCCTTTGCGACGTCGGCGACGAAATGTAGGTATTGTAGGAAAGTGTAGAAATAATGAGCTTCTCTTATAAATTTTCATCTAATTATATCACTCCTGAAATATTGTCACAAAAAGCCAAGTCCAATACAATCACGTAATCGCTACCTACGCCAAAACTTATCAAAATTGGTTCATAAGTTGAGACGAGAAAACGTATTATCATAATTCTGATACACGTGTTTTCGTGTTTAATAAACATATTCAGAAATATTCAAATCGCTTCGTTTATTTTATCTACCTATATTTCAATCGTTGTTTGAGAAACCCCTTACGAAAAATTTCAAGCTCAAAGTTACTTACAAACATTCCGAACTTTTACGAAAAGTACTTAAGTAGCTAGGTCTACTTTTTACAAAAACCTTTAAATATGGTAAAAATAACTACGAGTATTAATCTATTAACAGAATAACCTCCCCAAACGGCCAGCGCGAGCGTGTTGTGGCCAAATCCTCCATTTGCCTTGTTAAATTAGAGAGGAGGGTTATTATGCTCCTGCAGTGGAGACAATTAAATGACCTGATGATAACACACAAAATACTTGATTATTCATAAACGCTTCATTTTTCATTTACTCATTAACTTACCCGACTGAGGATATCTGCAAATAAAAATAACCACATTCCTAAAAACTTCAGTTAAAATTCACCAGCATGCGTATTTCAGTTTATCTTTACCGGTGTCTGATGGTTGTTGTAGGTTACAAGAACTGTTAACAGTTGACGTATATTATCACTTATTTCTATTTATAAAAATGCTAAATAAAAAAGTCAGTTTATTACATTATTTAATTGAATTTGATAATTGCGGCGCGGCGGAACCTAAAACTTGCACACGGTTGGCCAAGAATTAAACGTGACGTGAAGTATGGTGGGTACATCGAATAAAACCGCTCAAACAAGTTAAAAGGAATGAAGAGGGAATAAAATAAAAATACACATCATCAATGGAATCACTGCGAGTTTATTTTTATACTTTTATTACATCCAACTGTTATACTTCGCATG